AGCCTGGGCACATCCCATTAGGAGAACATTTGTAGTTTACGTGGGAAAACTCTACACTGGATTATGTTTGAATCAGGATCCAACCCCTCCATTTGCTGTCAATTGTTAATGCTTTCAAAAGTTTTCATTTTAATTTGTATTTTCTGTCTGAGCTGTTTTGTGATAAAACTGTTACCCACTATAGATAAGTTGCTTATGTTGGACTGTTCAGCCACTTCTTATTATCCTTCCTTCATTAGACACAACACAGACGGTTATTCTTATGGGTGTTATGAGTCATGGTCTGCAGGCTTCAAAATGATAATGTAAAACAAAGACACCATTTGTTATCAAACATTCACTTATGATGCAGCACCACGGAGTGTTGCAGAGCAAAGTCAGTGTTTGTTGAGCCTCATAAAAGCTTTCCAGCACGAGTGTTTGTAGCAACGTGAAAATGTGTCAAACCTAAACAGAAGCAGTACTTCGATTACAAAGCTGTAGAGCTCTTTATCTGTTCTTGCAATTGTTTCTGTTTTTGTTTTTTATGTCAAACCTAAATGTTTTTAATTGTCAAACTAACTTTTAAAAAACTGAAACATGTACAAAATCTAGGTTTAAACTATTTATCGGTAAGCTGCCCTGTACTGTACATCATGAGGCAATCCAAAGAGCAAACATAGAGGAGAAACTAAGTCGCTGACATCTATCAGACTGCAAATGGTTACAAAACTATTTCTAAAGACTTTGGACCCCAGCAAAGCCTTTACTCTGCATAGGCCACAAGTAGGAATATTAAAAATGGAGTAATTATCCTGCCACGCCACTAGAATATGAAATGCTTTTAAAAAATGTGACGGTATGCTAATGACAACGAACACTTCCCATTCAAACTTGCATCAACTCTAAATTTCATTTAATTCCAGTATGGATCAGGGCTTCACTATACAGGGTATTGCTAAAAATAATACTCGTAATTCCTAAAACTTTGCAGAAAATAGGCTGCAGAGTGACTAGGCCAAGTCTAAATGGATGGTGTGTTTCCAGTGACATCTTGAATAAAACAAATGGCTATGGTCTATGGCCTCCTAATTGCTTAAGGACATTAATGACCTCCTCTAATTTATGTAATATTCAAATATGTTCTATGACATCTAATCCTGAAAGAACATGTTGGACCATGTAAAGGAAAGCTGTTTGCATCTTTAAGCTTTCTTTCCCTGATTCTTTCCTGAAAAGAGATCACTCGGAACCAACACTTTAAATAATATGTCATAATGTATATGTATTAAATAATTACAATAATAATAATACAATAATTACCAAAACTGCTTTGAAAAACATTAGCCTTAACACGTAACAGGCAGGTATTATTAGTGTTTAACAAGCACATACAGGAAAAATAGAAAATAATCCTAACATGGGCTGTGCAGTGGGTAGCACTGCTGTCTTGCATCAAGAAGGTTCTGGGTTTGATTACCGGCCTGAGGTTTTTCTGCATGGAGTTTGCATGCGTGGGTTCTCTCCGGGTACTCCGGCTTCCTCCCAAAGTCCAAAAATATGACTGTCAGGTTAATTGACTTCTGTAAATTCTCCTTAGGTGTGAGTGTGTGCATGAATGATTGTTTGTCCTGTTTGTCTCTGTGTTGCCTAGCCTGCGATGGACTGGCGACCTGTCCAGGGTGTACCCCGCCTCCCGCCCATAGACAGCTGGAGATAGGCAACAGCACCCCTTGCAACCCCGCTTGGGATAATTGTGACAGAAAAGAAAAAATGGATGAATCCTAACAACCATCAGTTGATGATGAGTTGAGTCATGAAGTTTAGCTTTATCATAGTTTTGAAAAAAATAAGTTCCTAGTTTATCCAAATCTAATTAAGAAAATGTATCTGAATATGTCTAAATTAAGACAATTCTGCATCGAAAAATTAATAAATAGGGCAATTACTTCTTCATAAACATTTAGGATCTTTGCTATTTTTTCACTTTAAAACCTAAACTTAACAAAACGAAAGCTTTTCTATTGGTGTTTTTAACAAAACCTAGTATGTCATCACACAGCACAGAGCCAGTAACGGGTCCAGAAACAAAACAGGCGGAATGCCAACATGGCTGCTCTTGCCAAAGTGGCATGTGCCTGACTAAGCCCATCTGTTGCTGCCCATGTGCCCGAAGGAACCCGGCTGCTATGGGTATGACGTGAACGCTGGACAGCCTGCAGTATGGACTACAATGTAAACTTGTGTAGCAAAAAAACAATAACTCATGATTCAACCCATGTCATGTCCTGGATTAACAGAGAGAAGAGATTGTCATGCAGTCCGCCAAGTAGAGAGCAGGAGACTCATCTGTGTCGATTTTTCTCTGTAGTTGCTGCTGAGATGAGGGGTATTGATGTTCCCATGACCGGAAAAGAAATCTCAGTAGTTCAATATCCCTTATTTGGGCCACTGCTGAAAAAAAAAACTAGGAATAAAAAAAAAAAAAGAAAAAACTGCTGCAGTTCTTTGCATAAATGAGAAGAAAAGAATCTGACTGTGTCTGCGGCATTTCTACAATAAGTCTCATAAAAAAAAATCATTTATGATAAACGTGGACCCACCTTAATATTCTAAGATGGGGTAGGCAAAGATTGTATTAAAAAAGAAAAGAAATTAAGTCCTCTGTGTGCCTTAGTTGCTACTGTTTATCTATTAATCTTTACTCAGTTTGCACAATCCAGACTTTGTGGACAATTTGTGGTATTAGTCAAATAAAGATAACCCCCGAGCTTATCTTTATTTGACTAATACCTATTTGAGCTAATTCCAAATTCTCCTTCAAAAGTTCAACATAAGAAAACATTGAAGCAGCATTTAAACTGTATTAGCTTTTTGGCATGAGAGGCCAGCATTTATATAGATTACCATAAGATGTAAAATGACAGTTTAGCCTAATTGCAAAACTTTAGTAGAATTTTTTAAACCAAAGCAAAATGATTACAGAGTTGATATTTTAAAGTCAGAGGGTAATCATATTTAAATGTCAAATCATTCTGGCTTAAAGATGTATATGAATGTTTTCTTTATCAGATGATAATGTCCCAAAATGTAGAAAATTTCTATTTAAAAATAAAATCCTGTCTTAGAATCTGTGAGGTTTTTTTTAGAATCTGTGGGGGTTTTTTCCGTATCTTATGCAGGCCAGTTAGTTATACATCAGCATAAACACCTAAATTCGGTCAATCATATATCAATGGTCATCTGTCAATCAAATTTTTTCGGTCATAGCATCTTGATTCATATGTCGTAGCTAAGATACTCAATGGTTGAAATAAGAATCATGTACTTTCCCATTGAGTTCCGTCCCAGTGTTCACGGGGATGGACGTCTGTGTCTTCAGCAGGCGTAGAGCTAACAGAACTGGCAGCGTTACGAGGCAAGGGCTCAAACATGTAAGCCTTCTACACCAAACCAAGCTTCTTCAACCCTGGCGTCCTCTTCCACAACATCTTCGTCCCCGCTTTCCTCCTCTAAATAAAAAATGTATGATGGAGGAGATTCATCCACGACCTCCGACACTAAACTCTCCTCCTCTTGCTTCCTGCTGTCCATAGCGTTCCTTGACAGTGTTGTTTCTCAGTCACCAATTTAGTGCTACTTGGACCCAATGTAATTTCTTATTGGGAACCTACTAGCACTAAGTTGCTAACTGGTTAGCAAGATGCTTCCGAGACAGCGGCCACAATCAAACTTGCTTGCAAATCTCCCGCCCCCTTGATAAACGACCAATCGCATTCACTTTATTCACTCGTGTAAAGTCGGCCACCACTCGGGAGGATTCAGAATGCAACGATTGGAACAGCCGCTTCCCTATGACTTTAAACATCTTTTTTTACTATTGATTTGGAACTGTACATATTGGCTTTTGGAAAAAACCTTACAGTTTAGATCAAAATTAGTAAAATACATGAGGAGACTAGACTAACAGGGTTTTCAAATCTAGCACTTAATGATAGCAGAAACCTCATAGCACTTAAACTGCACACCGTTAAGCCTTACTGTTATTCTCTGAAAGTTTCACTCTCCCTCTCTGCACAATACTGTTTCTGTTTAAAAAGCCTCTGATATGTCTGCTTCCTTTAAGTGTGTTTTAAAGCAGCACAGATCCTTTTTACTCAGTTAACTAATCAAAAAATGACCAGTCTGTCATTAAGACATGATTAAGCTCAAAAGGAGCTGTATAGCATCTCTATTTTTTTTCCCCTGCAACATTCACCGGTTAAACTCTGCTAACTGTTAAACTGTTTTTGCTGATTATATGGATTTTTTTTAAGTAGGTAATTTTAAATCAGAAATTATGTTTTTTGTTTGTATGTTTTTTCCAGCGGTCTCTTTACTTACTGTAGCTTCTGTAGTTTGTAAAAGGTCCAGCTTCTCTTCCTAATATTACCTTGTATTTTTTGAGCATCTAATCACATTCATTCCTTCATAACTGCAGGTAATAGAGTAATTATCCTTTAAAATGTATAATGTTTGATCTTATCTATTTTTGGCTTGATAACTACCTCATTCAGCAAGTTTGACTTGAGATTTGTACTATTTTCTATTGACTGTGCACCTTTTCATTTCCCCATCTCTTTTAACTTTTTTGTTTGTTTATTCAGCATCTCGAGAAGATCAGCTAATACTAAGCTGCTTTTTAAATGGAAGACCTGTTTTAAGTTCATTGTTACACACATTTTCAGACATTCTGTAAGAATGTGTATTAATCACAACAAACAAAAACAGGCCCATTTAAGATGTAGTGTTAAAACTTTACTATGACTGCAAAAGGTTGTAAAATATGAAAACCAGCTCCACTTTCAATGCTTAAACAACCCTGATCTGATTTTCAAGTACTTCTGCATCTTTGTATTTACTTTGTTTTCCTGTTTCTCACAGATTATTCCTGCTGACAGCCAATCCACTCTGATACCCCTAGTCTTGCCTTCCAAATGAGCATCCAGGTGGAAAGCCTATAGCCTGAAGTTGCTCCAGTGATGGCTGAAGCATCCCCTTTAGCTATCTCCCCGACAGACTCTGATGTATTTTCCCCGACCCCTGACCTGTGTGCCTCATGTGGCCACAGTCATAAGCTGGAGGAGAACCATGAATACATCTACCAAGATGAAGTGGACGATGACCTTGTCTGCCACATCTGTCTGCAGCCACTCATCAGGCCCCTGGACACACCCTGTGGTCACACCTACTGTCAGGAGTGCATCACCAGCTTCCTGCTGGAGAGTGACTTCTGCCCTGTGTGCCGTGCACCCCTCATGCTGCAGAGTTGCAGGAAGCCCAGCCTGCTGGTGCATAAATTGCTGGATAAGCTTACTGTAGCCTGCCCTTTTACCGAGTTTTGCACCGAAACACTGCCTCGCGGGGAGATGGAAGATCACATCAAGGGCAGGTAAGCTACAATAAAACATGTAACCAAATACTTTATACTCAAATTTTTATTAAATTTACTAAAAAACCTAAATTGCATAACCCTATCCACACAAATGCATTTGGGATTTTTGAATTTTTTGGGCGACGTGTTTCATAAATGTACTTCTTTAGGATTTAAAACCAGAATGTGACGTTGAGAAAAATTTTAAAAATCAGGTTATTGATCAGAGCTGCAACTCAAGCTTGGTTAGAGCCACCAAAAGGCATCTGTTAAAATCGATTTTCATTTCCTTCAGCAGTTTGTCAGTTAAATATTGTTTAACAATGTTTTACTGTGTTCAAGGGAGAACATATTATAAGAAATACCATCACTATCCTCCTCAGGATCGCTCCTCTTTTTCTCATGGGGCTCAGTGCTAAAAACTAAGAGCTTGAAAAATATGCAGATAGTTTGATATATTTCAATATTAGAATTACGAAACTGGATGAATATTAAAAACAATTCCTTAGACACTGGTTATATTTAGAAAAACATAATAATACTTTTTTTGAAAGTATGTTTGTAATGACTGCTATGAAAAGACGAACTTCTATTCTCAGTGTCATACAATCCAAAGGGTTCTCATTGACCTGCATGCTCACCTCTCTTTACCATTTATTTCTAGCTTTTCATCTGTACTTGTCCACAATAATCTGCCATGAAGACCGACTGTAGGTTTTCCTTTTCTCTTTGCTCTTAATCATTAACCACCAGATACTGTCCCAGAAGACAGGCTTTCTCCTCCAACAGGGCTTTCATCTTTCCAGGCCCAGCTCATCTGCTTACATATCATTAAAAGGCCACACTTTAGTTTCTCTCAGTGTGGGTCTGCCCACATTAATGCTTGTTAAGGCTCCCCTGACCCAAGTGCTGCTGGAATAATTAATGTATCCCACCAAACATCCTGGAGAAGAAGCATTAAGTTTCTACTCAGTTACATTCAAAAGTCAAAATCAGAATTAGATTCAAAATCCTTAAAAATCCTTTTTTATATTTCGAGGATTGGATCTGCGATTTCTTATTACTTTTCCTCTAATGCAATGCTTTCTGCTCAACCTTTTTCTCTGTCAGTTTTTCTCTCTTCTGCTGCCCCTCATGTAGTGTGAATGTCATAATGAGGTGTGGATCTCTGAGACTTTCTCCCAAAAGGATTCAGCTGCTCTCCCATAGTTAGAGAGTGTTATCTGTAGAGGTGAGAGGCCACATCCACAGAGATCATGAAACACATTGTGTGCAAGGATGTGAAAAGGTTTGAGTGAATAACCCATTTCAACATATCTATCATGCTCCACTGATTCTAACAATGAATGAAAAACACTTCTGCTTGAGTAAATTTATTTTAATTCCTTCTTTAGTCTGGAAGAATTATAAATGGTTGAAGACAAACCTAAGGAGACAAACTGTGTTATTAGTGTGAAGTTATAATGGTGAGTTGGCAGAGAAAAGTCAAGTTGCATAATGCATCAAGCAAATGTCAAATTTAATTGCTGGAGATATTAATTTGCATCTGATTTCCATACCAGTAGTTTCTTTTTTGACGCATTAATAATCTTCTTTTAGATCTCAGCGAGAGGTATTGCTTAAAAGGTTGATGGCAAAAGGTCTCATATCAGCAAACGGATTATGCCCCATGGCAAATAGAGGGCAAACCTAACCAAGGTGTTGGTTGATTGTTACCTATGTAATTAAGAACTCCAGAAGTTGCAGTTATAAATTGAGTTGCAAGCAGTTTGTTTACGCCGGTGCTGCACAATGAGCTGCTTGCAGAACTGTTGCCTCATTGGAAGAAGGTTGCTGGCTCTATTTGATCGAAAGATAGTGGAGTTAAGATTTTATTATTTCATCATAGATTTCACAATAAAAGCTTTCAGAGGTTATGTATGATGGGGGGATGGGGGGGGGGGTTCTGTCAACTATATTGTGGTCTTTAAAATTCACTCTCTTTTCTGTGTTTTAATAAAGATATTCAGTTTGAATAAATAATAACTGATTTTGATACATCTCTTTTAGTTTAGAATTATCCACTTTAGGTTTAACTTTAACCTATTTGTGATTTTAGATGAAAGAGATGCTGTTCAGATTCCTTAAAAGCTAAATGTAATGGAAAGAAGATAAGCTTAGTGTTACTTGTGGCTAATGCTTGATTAAACAGGGAAAGCAACAGATGCTTCATCAATTCTTTTGTAACAAAGCAGTTCATCATGCTCCTTTTCCGACTCCTAGAGTTATGCACGGCTCTGGAGAACACATTCAGGTAAACTTGCAACACAAGGTAATGTTTATAGCAGTAACAAGATGATTTACAATAACTGTGCAAGGCTAATACAAATTCATTCAGGTTATACAAAATCTTTTGTACAATATACAGAGCTAAAACTTTGGCACAGTAAACTAGAGCAAAACATGCTGATGACAAATGGAAAAATGTTGCACTGCTTTACAAAACAAAATCCTCAAGGGAAGGCAATAATGTCGAATTGATAGACTGATGGACGGATAGTTGGACAGACGGATGGATGGATAGATAACAGACAGGAACATCTGACAAATAATTGTGTTAGGCATTTCTGTCATTATTTTCCCTCACTCCAGACTCCAGCATTAAACCTTTTTATTTCACATTATCTAAATCTATGTACCTCCATACTTGGCTCAGGAAGTAAAGATTTTCTTACATCACAAGTCTCTGACATTCAATTGAAGTATTGGAGGAATAAATTTGATCTAGACATAAAGATAGTCGAACAGCCAGAATGCATGACCTCAGTGTTCTCTCTGCCTGTATTTTGATGCTAGTGATAATGCAGTACATCATTTCTGGCTGTTTCCACCCAAAAATCTGGCAGTGGGTCAGAAGTTGTAATGACTGAGACTTGGCCATCTGGACAGGGCTGACATCATACTAATGTAATCATTCATGACCTTTATTGGCCTTCAAATAAGAAAACTGATATAAACAGGAACATCTTCGCTGTGATTTGTGGCTGAATCGTTGGTTTGCTGTCAGGGCTTGCACAGCATTTTTGTTGTACTCTGACATGCAAACACATGTGGTTCTTTGAACCTGTTTCTTGTTTGTTCAAATGATACTCACATTCATGTTTTTCATGTAATTCTTCTTTTTAGTTTCAGCTTTAGTACAAATATTTGATTTTGCAGGACTGCTTCAAGCATACTTATGCTTTCTTCTTTTGCTTCCTGTTTAGAAAAGCTGTCTTGACTTAATTACTAAAAAGCAATGGAAAATCACAAATAGTTGAAATGGAAGTAAAAATAGACTCATGAAATCTGCAAAATAAGCATGTGTTCCTTTAAAAAACAGTTACAGAAATATGTGGTAAGGTCCTTAAACTCCATTTCTCCATCCACTATCATCCACCTAACCAGCAACAGGTTGTGGAGATAGATCCAGCAAATCACAGACATCCCCTTTTAAAGCTGTATTGTCCAGCTGACTCTGAGTTGTCCGAAGGTGGTCAGAGGCATATGTGATCACTTTAGTGAGTTCTGAGTCTGATCTGGTGTTTGCAAAGCAAAGTGCAGTGGAAGCATCTTGATCAGAAAGCAGACCCACATCAGCTGATTACTTTTGAAGTTGAACTAGTTTCAGCTCCCACAGCAGACCCGCATTTGAAGAATGAGCAAAGCCTCACATGGTGACAATCACCATGAAAACTAAGACAAAATGATTCAAGAAAAGCACCAGCTGTATACTTCTCTATAAGGCTGGCTTTTCTGAAGATGTTTAGGTCCAGTCTCATTTTGGACTGATAATACCTGCTATATTAGGGTCTTATCTATCTGCTCTAGGTCAGTCGGTCCTTGTCCAACTAAATAGAATTGATTTGGTCTGAGTCCATTTGGTGTGAGTCTGGTTGTTTTGACTTGAGTCAACCTGTCTGGTTGGTCCGACCCCGTTGGTCTAAGGCCCCTTGGTCTTTTGTTTCCATTGTCTTGAGTAAGTCTGGCTTTAGTCCGTTTGGTCTGATACTATTTAGTCTATTTGTGCTTGTCTCCCAATAATACAGGTAATAAACCAGTAAAAAAAAAATTCTAACTCTAGTTCATTGTGAGGTTCCTTTTTTTTACATGTAAGCACAGTGATTGCACTAGGGTGAGAGCTGAAACAACTATACCGAGACTGTTTAGTGCAGGTAGTTCCATGCATCCATGCCTGGCTGTGTGTTTCCTGGACGGGGCCGCCTTTTGCAGCTGCTTTTTGTGTCTTTGCTTCTGTCTCCTTGAACCCCAGTCAGCCTCGGCAGATGGCCGCTCACACTGAGCCTGTTTCTGCTGGAGGTTTCTTCCTGTTAAAAGGGAGTTTTTCCTCTCCACTGTCGCTACAAGCATGCTTAGTGTGAGGGATTGCCTTCAAGTCAATGAGTCAATGCAATCAACTGGTTTTCCTTAGATAGAAAACTTTGAAATAATTTCACTGGATGATCTGGTTGAACTGTAAAGTGCCTTGAGATGACATGTGTTGTGAGTTGGCGCTATAGAAATAAACGGAATTGAATCTTTTTAAAAAGGATAAATTTTCAATTCACTTTTAAGAATATTTTGTTTGAAATGGTACCAATAAAGGTGCTAATAAGAGCAGCACAATGTTTTTAATTAAACTGCCTCCTGTGTTGAGATTTGTTACTGCCATCCACACATCAAATCAATAAACAGAAAAGAATTTGGCATAATTTTTAGTTAAAACTTTTGTTTTGCTTAAAATATATCGGTTAAAAGACATCAAACAACCAGAAAAAAAGAAATAAGTGAACAAACAAAAGTGAAGAAACTATAGGTGTGTAAACACTTGTACAGTTTCTGTTGTAAATGTGCTTCAATTTGTGCTCATATCTTAAAACTGATGAAGATAGCATTGTTTATTATAGAGTAACAAATACATTTCTCCAGTTTTTTCTGCACATCGTTTCTATATAGTGAAAGGAAAAACAAAACTCTGACTCTGGAAGAGTAAAGACTTG